TTGGCCAACCCAATACAACTGCATTTCATTATCTTTGATGTTCCTGGCACAGAGAAAAGTATGGTCAACTGGACGCACACCATTTCAGTGATTCCAAGATTAAAACTAGTTGTGACTTGAGTTGGTCTTTGCTCACTCGTGAGTGAATCTTTGATGGGATCCATCATCTTGTATCATGAAACGATAAAGAATGTCTGTAGGTTAAAGAAAATAAAAAGCGTCAGTGGGTCAAGGTTTGCCAAACTCCAGAAATCAATCACACGGGAGCAATTCGTGAAGAAAGGGAGATGTTGAGCATTTGATAGTATTGTCACGTCTGATCTTTAGAGAGCTTTCTCCGAACTGTGCGATCGTTACTACGGAGATGTGCTGTCGCCAACTGCAAAACTTATTTGATGCATATCCCCCACTGCGCCCAGAAGCAGACACATTTGTTCTGCTTCACTATAATGCGCACTTGCACACAACTTTGGCCATCCGCCAGAAAATGCCAGGTCTAGGTATCGAAATACTTGGGCGCCCTTCATATAGTCCAGACCTCGCTCTAACAGAATTTACTGAGCTCGCTTTAGAATGGTTAACAGGGTAAACGCTTCGAAGATCGGACCGCAAATCGTATATGGATGCCTTCTTCTTGCAGCAACCATTCGTCGAGTTCTACGCGAGAGCTACCAGAACGTTGACAGGATATGATGGACCATAATAAACAATTTATTACTTGCCGAAATATTTCGAACGTTCAATAAAGTTTTGTTGAAAAAATGCCAGAAAATGTAAAAGGCTTTCGGAACAACCTAATACTATTTGTTAAACGTATTCATGATCTGTCCGTGTTCCTAAAACTACTAGTAAACCCAACCAGCAATTCTACTTTTTTGCTTTGTGCACGCATATGATCTGTTAGCTTACGGAAGATATCAAACCTACAATTATACAACCCCAGTTAGTAACGTACTAAAACAAATCAAAAAAAAAACAATACCGTTTTCCGATTTTCACAGCTTTTGTAGTTTTATGACTTTCCTTTTTTTCTGTTCTGAGCTCCTCCCATCCAAAACACTGATTTAAAAATGAATAGGCTCTGTCTAGTTAGATGACATCTAGAGATTTATATTTTTGACTTCCACTTCAGTTACTTTTTATAATGGATCTCAAGTCTAGTGGTCATATTACTCCTATACTCATAAATATCAAGTTGAAATGCGAATGAAAAATTACTGTCTGAAGTTGAGAGCCACATTTTTTTTGGGAAGCTCAGCTTTTGGAGAGCTCAATTTGAAAGAAAAGTTTAAGACATAAAAAGTGTTCGAAAAATGTTTTTCACGACAACCTGACACCGTGAACATGTATCATGTCTTAAAATAACTTGAAAATTCTTCAAAACAGTAGTTGGCAAACTTTCTGATAATCGTCATGTCTAGCAGGTTCTAAAATTTGAATATTTTGGGTCTGAAAAACATGAAAGGTTTTCTAATGGTTTCAAATTAACAAAAATTTCAGTTTAGTCCTGAAACCGGAAATGATTCAGTTCATTCAAAATGTGGTGACAAGTTTTTGGAGTTGCTTCCAAAAGTTCTTCGAAACGATTTTAAGATCAATCGAAATTGCACCATTTTAGTAGCGAAAAAGACCCCTTGCTTCCCTGTTTATGGTTTACCCGTTTATGGCTTCTTGCTTTATAACTAAATCGTTAATTTTTTGCAACTTTCGCAAAAAACCTCGCGAAACCATAAAAACCAGCATTGTTGATGTATGGTGGTTTTTCTGTGCTCCACTTCCATTCACCGCAGTTTGCTACTCCTCTATTCTATCTATTTTTTTGCGCGTTCTCGACCACCGGTATAGTTGTTGATCAGCTCCTCGTGCATGTTCCTTTGAATACACTGCTAATTACATGACGACGTAATGTTCCCGTTGAGACGACGAGTGGGGGAGAAAATATTAGAATATGCGCATACAGGTATGTACTGGTTTATTATGATCAGAAGAATATGATTCAAGATCTTTCTTTTTCTAATTTATAAGTAAGATCAAAAATACGACGTTGCGTAGTTAAACTCAAAAATTCGGCTAATTTTCAGGTCTGCTGATTTTAAGTAAATTTGAACAAAAACTCTATAGACTTAATGATCTTATCTGCTTCGGGGATTAGTTCATTATTTCCATCTAGCGTCAAAAAGATTAAAAAATAAGCATTATCCTCATTAAGCTCTATTGGTCAGCTAGTATCACTTCTGAAGTGACCTATAAAGAATTTTCTGACTCCCGGAAACTGATGGGTACGTCAACTCAATTTCCCACAGAGAGCTGAAAATAATCTTTAGAATATCACGTACATAATTCACTTGGACCTTCTTTATGAATTCATTTTCAATTCAAAAAAATCTATTCATGCCCCGAAATGTTTCCACCCCGGTTGACTGACTCATTGTGTGGACAATTGTTATTCAATTGATTCAAATGATTGGATTGCACAATTGAACCCCCCCCCCCTCGTCCTAATGCTCATTTTGCCTTTATTCCCTTCTTTTTCCCAACAAAAATAGATGCAAGCCTATTCAAACTTGTTTAGTGAAAGGATAGAAGAAGAGAAAGTAAAGTACAGAAAGATGGGAGCCAACATTGTGCTCTGTGTCGACTGGTCCCGGTTTTCTTCTGTGTTGTGCCATTTAATGAGCTTAAAAACGTTTTAAAAAGAGACATTCTGGGCCGTTCTAGAAACAAAATTTCCGCTTATTAAGCGTCTCGCTCGCCTTTTTTGGACACCACCTCGGCTCTAATAGGTCTGTTGCGTGTTTCTTTGCCATTTCAATAAAGTTGGCTTCTACTTTTTCTTCTTCTTCTTCTTCTTCTTCTTCTTCTTCTTCTTCTTCTTCTTCTTCTTCTTCTTCTTCTCTTGGGGCTTTCTTCCAGGATAGGAGAAAGCGATTATTTTGAGAGTTTGCCTCCTAGTTTTTTGGCTTTCTCAGAGATGAATTTTGCTTACTTCAAAGTGAAACCCTTCAGATTTAACACAATTCTTCTGCAGAATTATCTATGATGTAATACAATGTTGACAGGTTCTAACAATCTGTCGGAGCAGCTGTGTTCCCAAATTTGAGTCTTTTTTCTCACCCATATATACAGCTGGAACAACAGAATGACCTAGGTCACACGTTTTGTGTTTTCTTAGCCATCATTCGATTTTCGTACAGTTGGGGTAAAAATTCTCGTCATCTTCTTTGAAAAAAAAAGAAAAATGTTTGTTGTCAGAGATGTCTACAGTCTGAGGCGCTAACGAGAAAATGTTATCCCTTTAGAGGTCTAAAAATGATATTATTTTGGGTACATCTAGTCTAGAATATTATCGTGGGACCTTACTAGTTCTATTTATTTGTTATTTTGATAAGGACTCTGCAGGGAATAAAACTAGGCTAGGAGCTGATTGAAAAACAGTATCAGAATATAGTTCCGCTACTGTTTTCTAGATAAGGCTTTATTAAATCAGTTCCACATCTCGAACTTTTGAAAAATTTGAAAACTCCTTTTGTCATGTTAAAAAAAGTTTCGGCCGAAATGATTGCCAAGGATCTGAACAAATTGACGCGTCAGATTTTCTTGATTGCCACCCATCAGCGCCACCCGTCGCGTTTTTGACCTCAGGACTTTTTTGTTCCCGCCCGCTTGACTTCTTTCTGCTCTTTCTGCTATCTTCTTTTATTTTTCATTGCTTTCCGCTCTGTTTTTTGCAGCCGGGAATGTAGAAAAAAACGGAAGGAAGGAAGGAAGGACAAGGAATATCGTGCGGAAGACCGAATCTTTTTTATTGTTTCCTGCGCATTTATTTTTACTAGTTACTACCCGATTTGTGCTATGGTCAAACATCACTACCCCTTTTGACACTTCATGGTAAAATATAGTGATTGAAGGGGACACGGCGAATAATTTACGAAATTTGTTTTTTCTGCAAATCTACAGTAATCCAAATTGGTTCAAGACTTTCGTCTTCTATCTCCTCCCTCGTTTTAAAGTGTTTCCAAAAAAATTACATAAAGATGTTTGCGACAAGATTCTGCACAAAATCGGTGCTATTTCAATTGATCCCCAAAAACCTCGAAAAGTTGAATTTTTCAAAATCTGTCTCCTCACTGGTTTCAAAACAAATTTAGTGAATCATTAGCCGTGCGGGAGAGATCTCAACAAAAAATCCTGGTAACCTTGCATATAGAAGCCCCTCAACGTGTTGAATTCAGGTGCTACTGAGGGCCTACATTTCATTTGAACGTTTTAATGTCCAACTCCAACCTTTTTCGACATAAAATGTTTTGTTTTAAGGCTGTAGGTTCTAGCCAAAACATACCAAATTATCGATCCGATCACAGAATGTCATTCGTCATTTTTTCAATATTTCTCCTCTTTCCTGGAGCTCCCACCTTCACTTTCTTTTTCCTTCGCTCCCATGCCATCTTTTGTGAAAATAATGCATCTTTTTCCTATTTATCTCATGCCCTTCTTTCTGTCATTCGGACAAAAAACGTTCCCCGTCAAAAAGAGGACTATCCTTCTTTTTTAGGTTTGTTGGTCCTTTCCTCTTCACCGAGATGTCCGGATCCTAAGAAGATCAGCATCAAAACAAGGGGTCCGCCCTTCAAATGACAGACTCTGTATCGAGGAAGACAAATTTGGTTCCTTCTTTTTTTTCCCTTCCACCCGTGTTCCTTTCACACAAATAAATTCTTCCCTTTGTTCTGTTTGGACACCCACCTAGTGCATTTTCGTATATGCACGTGTCTTGTTTCGTTGTACTTTTCTAGATCAATCTGTATTTCTGTTCAGATGGTATGTGTTTTGGTTTTTTGTTCTTTGTTCCGACTTGTCAAATTATCAAGTCAAATTTTTGTAAATGAACTGATTCTCATTAACATTGATATCATTGGTCGATCTGTGAATTGTCAGCTCTTGGGTGATGTGTCCTCAGCAGCAGGCATTTTAAAAGTTCCGCATTTGACCTATCTCTTCCGTTATTTTTTCTTATATTTTTTATCTGCATCTCGAAATCTTTTCCTATTTTCTTTTTTACTTGATTCAAAACATATATCTTTTTCAGATACCAGTGAAGATTCAGAAACCAGTGAAGAGACCCGCCACTCTTCTTTGCCATTGCTCAAACTGAAAGCTGTAATCCTGAATCCATCGTCAATTCAAGCGATCAGAGCACCAATGTGGTTCAACGGACCACCTCCAGGACCACATCCCGGTCCTCCGCCGGGATTTCCCCATCACGGAATGCCATTTCCACCAGGTCATCATCCACTTCCTCCAGGAATCGCGATGATGCAGATGGGACCAAATGGACCACATCCAGTTCTTCCAGGAATGCCTTTAGGAGCCATGCCGCCACTGCCTCCAATGACTCCTATGCCACAGATGGCCAACGGAGTTGGTCATCCTCATATGATGCCAAATGGTGTTCCGCCAGGACCACCACATCACGTTCATCGTGGAAGACCACCAGGACGTCCAGCAGGTGAGTTGAATCGTATACTAATAAATTAAATTCAAAGTCAGTCTACGATTCGTGCCGAAGAATCTAGATTTAACGATTTGTCTCAAAGTTGTCTAGTTCCCTCCAACCTTTAGTGAAAATTCTGCAAACTTTGAAACATTAAAATTGATGATACCAAAAATTATGTGCTCATTTATTAGGAAACTTATGTGATGATACGGAAATATAAGATGAAGATGTTTTTTCAAGTTTTAAAATGATTCGTTTTCTCCATGCCTGATAATTCCCATGCGTGATATTCGACTTGAAAAACTTTTCCGGTCGATCAAATTTCTTTTCCATGACTTATTGATTCTGAGAACAATTTTATACTTGAGAAATTTTCATCAAAGCTAGAAAAAAATACACGTCACTTCAAATTTTACACTATCGATTTCATGAAGTTCGTGATATATAACCAAATTCTTGGTATTATGGTGTTCTAGAAACTGATTCGATTGCCACAACAAAATTTAATATAGACGTGAACACATTCAACCATGAATTAATTTCCTGCCAGGAATGACACCTTGCACTTTTCCGGTGTTCACCTGCTGTCCAGATGCAAATTTCGGATTCCTAATGATACTACAATGAATTCAGCCAGCAAGTGCGTATGTGCGTTTCGCTGGTTTATCCATCATTTTTCGTTCCATATGGCTCCACGGCTCAATTTTTACATTTTCGTCCCGTTAACTTTTTTTTTCTAAGGAAGAAACCTATCAATCAGAACACATCCTTTTTCAAAACCCATAATCTTACGAATCTACAAAATTGTACATGTTTAATTATAGCTTTCACACCCCTGTTTTTTTCTCCGTAATCCTGCTAGGGATTATCTTTATAGGATTTAACAAGGAGGTAGGGAATGAAGAAGAACGTCTTATGTAAGGTTTCTCAAAAAATTCGGCGGAGGAATATAGGATTTAGGGATTTACTAATTATCTACGTCAAAAAACTGAAATAATCCTTTTAGTTTATTGGTATCGCCGCAAAAAGGGATGAGTGTGCGAAGGACACAAACATCTGGTGATTTTTGAGAGGGATTTTTTTTGGAGTGGGGAGCTTCGCGAAGGTCTGTAAAAAGGGAAAACTGAAAATATATGGTCCCCATGTCATTTGTTGGAAGAAAAGGAACATTGAACATTGACATGGCAAGTGAACGTTAAATTTTTTGACTACTCAAGATTTTTGTAACCAAATTGTAGTTATTGTGTTTATTAAATGCTAATTTTCTCGTAGGTTTCAAATATCATGAACACTCTGATAGAACGTCTTCAGAAGATATTTGTAATGACTTTTTGGAATTCTTCGGAATGTCGAAAATTCCGATTTTCAAAATTATTTTTAAATTTTATTTAAGCATAAAAATTCAATGTTAACAATTCAGCTTAAATTAGATGCCACTGTCCGGACCTTCAGAGCCTCCCGGGCCTAGCCTTCCGGGCCTTCCGAGCCGGACCGGGCCTTGACCAACTTTTTGAAAGCCCGGCCCGTCCTGTCGCAAGTGTGGAATTTTCAGCATTTTCGGAATTCAATAAAGCTTACTGTGGCTGATTAAGAAATCCATGATATCACTTTTCGAATATTGTTTTTTCTGATGTTTTTGGCGTAAGACAGTACCGTGAACCCCGTATAAGAGGAGAAGCTTACACGTGTAAATTCGGTCTATAAAATACTCTAATAGAATCCCATTCTATTTGCGCATTCTGAGCTCGGTTCCTTGAAAAATACATAATAATAAAGTTGTAAACTAAAAATGTTTGTCATAGAATTGCTAGTTGACAAATTTTCGTTGTTTTTTGAAGGGACCGCGATAATTGAGTTTGACGTGCACTCATAGTGTGAGTTTTAATTCCAGCATTCACGGCACGGCGATTATTTTTTTCAGAAAATATTTCACATTCAGTCGAAAAGTTTAATTATATTTTTTCCGCTTTTGTTCTAGATTTGAAAATAACTCCACAGTAGAATTGAACTCGTTACATGGAATTCTTTGCCAGACAAAACAATATTGAAAATAGAATAGCAAATTGATTCTTCGAGCTCAAAGTCCTCGACAGCAGACAATTTTTTTCTCTGTCTTGTTTGCGAATTTTTTACACCGCGTTCCTCTGCAGCCCCACACAAATTGAAATCTCTTCCATCAGTTCTCTGATCACAGAAAAAATTTTCGAAGACTACGCGAAACGTGTTTAGCACCACTCTTTCTTCATCTCTTCAGATGTGATATCTTATCACCTTCTTCTTCAATTTTCCTATCATTTCTACTCTGATTTATCTCAACATGATCGATCACCAAACAGTTGCCGCAAGCCAAAGTCCGCCTGGTACTTTGAACGAAGCCGCTTCTAATTGATTCCTTGTTAGTGATGCCTTCCTACTGTAGCCACCAATGTCATCTTGTTATCAAAGAATTGTAAAGTGGCGGCCTTGATCACACAGTCATCGAAAAGAATGGAGAACGATACATGGAAAATAAAATGAAATATAAAATTGACCATCTGATGACACTGGAAAGAAGAATTGGGGTCGGAGGCAAGACGGAGGACGCCATGTGATTGATTTGAACTTTGTAGTCTTTCACGAATTCGATTTGTTTTCTTCTCATCTTGAAAATGGAAAAAAAAAGAAAAAGAGAAAAAATATGTGTAGGTGGTCATATAATTTTTCGTCTTCTGTAGTAGTTTTATTATTCTTCAGACATCGAAGTTTTGTTGATTTCTAATTAGTATTTGTCCGCATTCTTTCTTTGACTGTTCCATTGATCAACTGATTGCTCCGATTTTCCTTCCTGCAAAGATCGGGCTCATTTGCTCCGTCTGTGCTCTTCCCGCCGCTTCTGTTTGTTCTATTTTTATTGAGAGAGAAAATAGAAACCAGAAAAGGTATTCGTGAAACAAGAAATCACAGGAATCACAATGTTTCTGATGGTTTCGTCTAGTGAATTCCGTATGAATCATTGCAATCAAAATTTGGAAATAGACTGCTATGGTACAGATTCCGTAAATTGCTAATTATAAGGAAAATTAGTTTTGATATCTAAAAAAGTGAACTGATCAGGATTTAAATTTTTTTAGTTGGGGTTCAGAAAAAATTGTGCATTTTTGGAAACACCGGAAGCATTCTAATAGAACGGCGCTCCGAACCGTTAAGTTATTTCAAGCCGTTTTATCTCGGTACTTGTAATAGATATCAAAAAGTATTAAATTGGCGAAATAATTTTGATAGTATAAGAAAAAAAATTGGTTAATTTATTACTTCACAAACTTGGAATTACTGAAGCTTGGAGAATTACAAACATAAGAGTTAATTAACCTCGAAGATACAGTAATCTTATATCCAACAGTTAGAACTTAAGATCATTATTTTTTGACAGTATTCAACAAAGGCTGAGCTCGTTTTTTGAATTTCATGATTCAGTTTCAATTTTTTTTTTTGAACCGATTAGTGTTCTTGATCATAGGTCCCTATTAATATGTAATACTGATTTTTGCTCCTTCCGTTTCTGGAATCCTTCACGTCTGTTTCAATAAACCCTTTGAAAAGGGAGTCTACCTTTCCGCCACTGACTACATAATACGTACCTACCTGTATGATGATGTTTAGAAGGCAAAGTGGTCTTCTTCTCTCATTCTCTCATTCTCTCATTCTCTCTCTCTCTCTCTCTCTCTCTCTCTCTCTCTCTCTCTCGACTATTTTACTTTCGAGACTTGGTATATTTGATCAGCTCAAACATTGCACCGTACCTTTCTCACTCCTCCCTTTTCCCACTCTTTATATTTTTGCATGCCCTTTTTGTCCGCGCTAACTACCAAACCATATACTCCGCACATAAACTACTCAACCCCTAAACGATCAAAGAACTGTTTTCCTTTTTTTCAAAAAGTGTCCTATGAAACATAGGGTTGGGCCAACGGTCGAATAGTCTAGGAGTCAGATTTTTTGCGACACAAAGACGAAATGTTAAACTAATATTGACACTCTGAGAGCAGCTCTCGGTTATTATTTTCTGAAAGACGCCTCTCCGTAACTCAATACGTCAGTATGATCAGCACCCCGCTCTCTACACTCTCCATCTTTCTTCCAGAACCACAGTCTAGTCAAAATGTTGCGAAAATGGAAGAAGAGAGTGAGAGACACTGAAAGAAAAAAATTTGATAAGGATACGATATCAAATTGATATTCTGGAGGCACAAACTAGCGTCACCACCCATTCCTCCATTTGTGTCCCGTCACTCAAACTTCCTTTTGTACGTATCATCCAAATCCTAAACGGATTGGTTATAATGAGAGCGGATCCACCGATCAAACTAGACAGACAATGCCGAAACCTGTAGCGATTATGCGGGAAGATCATTAATCCCTTGATTCTCAACTAGAACAATTAGTTTTTTGTGTTTCTCATTAACATTCATTCTAAATATTTTGAACAGGTTGTCCGTTTATATACAAATCTTAGATATATATTTTTGTCTAAACGAGCCAAACTAGATTAGCTTCAGCAGATTAGCCGTTACGTTGGTGCTTGATCAATTTGAGTTCACATTATTCTATAAAATCTGCAAGAACGCGCCGAGAGATTAATCCTCTTTTGGACTAGATAGGGAATTCAAACTGAAACGTTTTCAATAAAAAACAGAACCTAAAAATTGTTTGTAGGTATGACATTGTATTTTATAGGTTTCCCCTTTCCCATTCATTTAAAATGTCATTATTTAATTTGTTATACATTTTAAACCCCTGCTCTAAAACTGTTCTCTTTGTGACCCATATTCTGCTACATGCATGAAGTGTAGCTTGAAGCGATTTTCTTATCGTCGAAGACTTTTGTCCCTGGACTCTTCCGGATCAATTGACCGATTATTTTTATCAGTTCCTACACGTTGTCGTTTCGAATTCACGATAAGTAGTTGGAAAAAATGTTGCGACTTTTTTGTCCAAATCAATGATTTTAAGGCTAGTTTTCACTGTTTTTCCGATTTCGTTCTGAATACCGATCTTTGGAATTACTCCACTATCAAACAAGTTGTGTACCGATGGTCTTAATGTTTTTGTACACCGACTCTATTATTCTATTTCCCATCCCTGACGTTATTTTACGTTTTTATGGTTCTTTTCTTGTTATTCGATTAGTTTTTAATATCAAATTGGCAAACAGTCTCTTGTTCTAATATTTTTCTAATCACAAATCACGAAATACTTTTTGGAACTCTATTAGTCTGTACCCTAAAAACGTTTTTGCATGTTTTATTGATAAGGCTACCCTTCCTAGTTTGCCTTTTCTCTATCTATCCTTCTCTTGGTTTGCCTGCAAACTCAAGAATAGTCGCAAACTATAAATATTGACATAGTCCAGGCAAAAATCATAAAGAAGTCATAAGAAACATTTTCCTTCGCCGCAGAAAAGGCAACAAAAGCACTGAAACAGACCAACTTGGCCAAACTACAAAAAAACAATTTCTTTGTATTAGAAGAGGACAGAAAATTTTTCGAACCGGAAGTCGAGAAAATATCTTGCACCTGAGGTTTTACGTGAATGTTCTTTAATAACTGTGTGTCTCATTGACCTCCGAGAATAAAGGACAGAAGTGTTTCGAGAAGGAATGTGTGACCGCTTGTGTTCCATCGCCATCATCACAAATCATAGTTCTCGAGTAGATGTTACAGTCTATTCTGAATCATTTAGGCGGATTTATGTAATTTGTTCTAGAAATCAAATTTGGGCCAATACTGAATTCAGGCCTCAAAGTATAGATAGAAAACTGTATAGGTCTTTAAAGAGGTTTTTCAATTTTCATTACTATATAAACTGCAGTGCTGGCCAAAAATGTATGAAAAATGTGTTTTTCAGTTGATTCTGACCATTTTCTGATAGCTCGGCTGTCAAGTTTCCGATCAGTTTGAAAATATTGGAGGTTATAAAACTGACATAGACTAAAACTTTGCATTCATAGAATTTTTTGAAAATTCCTAGTTTTTCGGCTATTTGCCTATTTGGGGTGACACCTGTTTTGTCACATTTTTCGTGAAAAAATAGGCCAAAAAATAATTCTTTCAGAAATCGGCAAATAGTTGAAAAACGAAAATTCTGCAAATGCATAGTTTTGACTCTAGGTCTGTTTTATTACCTCCAATATTGTCAAAGTGATCGGGCATTTGACAGACAAGCTCCAACACGTTTTTCATATGTTTATCGCCGGCACTGTAGATTCTGAGAATCTAGATTGTAAGAATCAATTGTAAAAATTACAATACAACTGCTGGCAATCAGAAATCACGCTATTCATTCAAAAAATATCAACTAGAAAATTTCAGATTTTTCTAAGAACTCAAATTATCAGTGTACATGATTTTATTTTCTTGGAAAGCCCCCATTGCCTAATCCTTGCTCCGAGGTCAGTAGTATCAAAGATCTTTAAAGCTCTCTCTCTCAGCGTTGTCTGCAGTTGAAAATAAACATATTTATATTGAAAACAAGATGATGAAGCGCCGGTCGACCTGAATATTGAATCTGTAATCAAACATCTTTTTTCTCTGTGTGTTGACTCTAACATAAGAGTCAATTTCATCTCCATGTATAAATAACGGAAACATATTTAGAATACTCGGAATACATGATTGCGTTTGAATTGCCTTGCCTAGTTAATTAGGTGACATTGACCACTGGTCCGGAGCAGTTTAGACTAGAGAGTGTAGCCGGGGCGTGACCAAAAGAACAAAAGTATGGCCTCCAACGTCCCACCCACCCCGTAGGATCGGGAGAGAGAGCGACACTAAGACCTCATGGTTAGTGGCGATGGGTGTTCTTTGGTTTTGCAGAGAACATAGTTTTTTTTCTCGGTACGTGTTTTTCACCAAATGTTGGGAACTACTTGGGACAAAGAACAGTTGACAAAAATACTGGTTGAGAAATACTACGAAAGACGGAAAAAGAAGGAGAAGCTGTCATGTTTTTTTCTTTGTATTTTTTTCATTTTCTTGCTCAGCGTTCTTCACAGAAGCACCCCTTCTCAAACTAATCAAAATATGTGGGATTCTAGAGACAACTGAAAACAAAAGCTGTTCTAGTCCACGTAAACAGATTCTAATAACAGTGTCTGTAGACTAAAAGATGATCCTTGTTTTCTAGAAATACGTGAGAGAGTGTGCCGAAACTTTGATGTTTCGTGACAAAGTAGGAATACACACTTTTCCATGTGTCTATTAGAGCCATCCATGCGTGCCATTTTATTCAGAGAACATTCCATATAGATCATGTAAAAATAAGTTAATATGCAACTTCATCCAATTGATCCTCAAACTTTTGATTTTTCAGTTTCCGTGTTCCCAAGAAATGAATTTGTTTTGATGGGCTCCAAAATTTCTGTTTTGTCTAGCCAGTGGCTCTACTAGGAATGTCAATTTCAGATAAAAAGAGAACGCTGACTGCCTCTGTCTCTTTAATTTCTATAATCTATGTTTTTGTGGGAACGGCCATCACCACCACCACCACAACCGCCAATAATAAGCTCATCGGTTTGATTTTATTTTCTCAATTTTTCGTATTTCGTCGCCCAATCTTTCACCAACAATCTGACCTTGTAGCCTCTTCTGGTCTCTGTCCAATCCCGACCGATCCATCCGTTTGCATTTGTAGGTCTAGGAACAAGTTGTAAGGAAT